TCACTAAAGGTTTTCTGATTGTTGCAACAACGATCAGCAAACTGAAACATTCTTCTTCCAGGAATAGATACATTGTAGGAATAGACACATTATGTGTCTATTCATGAAAGATAAAAAAAAAGCCAGTATAGCTTGAGAGAGATATCTCTCGATCTATACGAGCTGTCAGAATGCCGGCAAAAGCCGGCATCTGTGTCCCTCTGCTGTGACTCTCAGACACCCGATATTAAGGTATCGGGTGTCTAAAAAGGTTAACCCTTTCATTAATGAATGCCTCTGTAGTAAGGGCATCCATTAATGAATGTTAAAAGCTGATTCTCAGCGATTAACAGCCCTCTAAAGCAGCAAATAACTCGTCATGTACAGTGTACGTGACAAGTCATTTGGTCCCTTTGTGGCTGGACGTACAGTGTACGTCTCCCGTCACGAAGGGGTTAAGCCCGTGACACACTGCATGCCAAGCCGTGTAAAGCAAAGCTGTCAGGCCGGAGGTTCGCATGTAGTATGTGAGCTGAGCGCGGCCAGATAAAGGACTGCACCTTCAGCCAATCGGCTCGCGCGTAACATCCGAATGGACTTCGCATCGTGATGTGCGGCTTTAAATGCGCAAGCTGACGTGCCAGAGAGAAATTACATGACACACTGCACGCGGCGGCAGCGCGCCACCGCTCTGCGCTGCTTCACGTGCAGTGTGTCACAGCCTTTAGAGTTGTGTAGGGCCATTTCGCAAGGCTAGAGACAGTTTCAATCTGATATCACAGTCAATAGATTTAACAACCACTATGTAGTGTGAGGTCCGAACTGATTAGATATAAGTTGAGTAAATTGTTTAGGGTGGCCGTCTCAAGACACAGTCTGTGTATATCTAAAGGACATTGTGCAATCAGATTGTAATGTGTGTGACTACATTTGAGGAATGGAAACACAATATGTGGCCAAACATTTAATGAACATCTGATTATCACACCTATATGGTGTGGCAGTGCGTGGCAATGCCATGGAGTATGCTGGCAACATGGTTAACTAGGACTCTCAGCCAGAGGGGCTGAGAGGTTCCAGACTGCAAATAGTTCTGCAGGGAAGAAGCTGGTCTTTCAGTTGCTTCTGGTTTTTCCAGGTTGTAGCTGGGATCTGGATCTCTGGAGATTTCTCAGAGTTCTGGGTGGGATGAAATCTCCAGTCCTGAGGTCAGGTGTTGCCGGTGATCAGGTGGCTGAGAACAGCCTAATTAAGAGCTCAGACCAGAGCTCAAGGGGAGGGCTGGTGTGGTGTGTGCTGGAGGCACCAGAGGAACAGCCTGGGAGGCTGGAAGGTTTGGAGAGGCTGAGAGAGCCGGGCACACAAGGTGTGTGTGTTGAATCAAAAGCTGCTCAAGGGTACAGAGTATTCTTGAAGAGTTATGTTGAAGAATACAGTAAAGTCCTGGGACTGGGACACTGACTGAACAAGACAACCCGAGAATGTTGTACTGCTGAAGAAAGCTATTTTATGTTGAACTTCCTTGGTTGTCTGCCTTTGAAGAAATAAAAGACTGTCCTTTTTCTCTGTTAGGCACGGCTCAGAGACTGGTCCTTAAAGTGACATTAAACCCTCAGATTTTTTAACATAAACCAATACTGTAATGTGTGCCTTACTGTAATCCATGGTAGTTTCCCTTCTCTTTGCTGCTCTTCCTTTTAAATCCTCATGTCTTCTCATGCTGGGCAGAACTTCTGTTTTGCAGCAGACTGCCTTGTCTCAGGAATGGATACACGGTGTCTGTGTATAGGTTTGTATAGGCTTGTAACCTGAGCCAGCACTACAGGAAGAGGCCCTGAGCTGAAAAGGGAAGTTCTCCCCCAGCATGAGAAGACATGAGGATTTAAAAGGAAAAGCAGCAAAGAGGAGGGGAACTACCATGGATTACAGTAAGGCACACTTTACAGTATTGGTTTATGTTAACAAATCTCAGGGTTTAATGTCACTTTAAGTGCTCACCATATGTGCTAATCTCCCCAAATATCACAATGGGCATATTGGACATTCCATTCCAAAACCACGGGCATTATTATGTTTGTTGGCTGGTATAACCACAGAGATGAAGCACCTTTGTGGCTATACCAGGCTTCACTGTTCTGGAAAGGCTTTCTATAAGATTCTGGAGGGTGTCTTTGGGAATATTTACTCATTTTAGCCAAGAGATCATTTGTGAGGTCAGTAAATGATGTTGAATGAGAAGATCTGGCTTGAAATTAACATTCCAATTCATCCCTAGGGCTGAGGTCAGAACTCAAGTTCCTTTACACCAGACTTATCAGACTATGTCTTCATGGAGCTGGTATTGTGCTCAGGAGTACAGTCATACTGGAACAGGAACCTTCACCAAACTACTGTCACAAGGCTGGAAGGGCACAAAGGTCTAAAATGTCTTTGTATGCTATAAAATTAACAGTACCCTTCACCGGAGTCAATGGAACTCAGTTATTTGGAAGAGGGTCTGCATACTTTTGGCCATATAGTTGCCCAAATCATTTTATTAAAACATCAAAAGCAATCAGGTGACTAAGTGTATCGTGACCATTAGGTGAATGGGTAGCACTCAAAAAGCTGTTGTTTTTACATCCTCTTTTTTATTTTGTATTGCTTTGTATGCGGGCAATTTTGTATTTACGGTGTTTAAATCAGTGCCATATCATAATTATAGAAATCTTAAAATGCGTGAAGTTCCATCGCAGTAGTTAATTTATATAATATATACATTCTTGGCAGCCAACTATCCGTTAATTGCAGGGGCTTCCCCTAATTTGTGTGAATGTTTCGTTACTGACTCCACCTGTGTTATATGGCTGAAATGGGGAATTTCCAGTGTCTGTTTGGGAGATTTCATATGTTTTCACACTTGATCATTGAACTGACTTCATGGAAGTGTCAGGCTACATTTGTGCTATACAGCAGGGGGTTCTAGGTGGACAGGGGCATAAATGGAAAACCACAGTGGTACTGCCCACTGTTCTACAATGAGGAGAGATTCTGTATTGAAGAACAATACACGCTTCAGTTCTTTCTGGGAGCATGTATGGACAGAAGCTCTGTGCCGACCATGATTAGGCTAGGTCAGGTTGAAACAGTCATTGCCTATGATATGTACTAACAGTAACTAAGTGGTCATCGTGGGACAAAATCCGTACATTGAACTTACCCCTTAACCAGTTGACAGGGCTCATGTGTGTGGCTGATTTACTGTCTGGATTCTATACAATTCCTCTCTGCTTGGCTTTCTCTTCAGTGAATGGTCGCAGTAGCCGTTTGGGCTTTCTGTGGAGAAAGGAGGCATGTACTGTCTTCGACAGGTTGTTTGTTGTATAAGATATTGCCCTTTTTAGCGTGATCACGCAAGGAATTCAATCTGACACATACTCGTTTCAGGATTAGCAATTCCTAAAGTTTATTATCTAGCAGACTACTTTATATGCTTTGTAATGATCATAAATCTGACTGTGCATGCACCTAAACCTTATCTACAAAATGAAGAGGCCAGTTAGTTTTAGCTGAACCTGGTACTTGTGCAGTTTAATTTCTTTAGAAAGAGAAAGTCAAAAGAGAACGACTAGTTGGCTGAATATAATAAGAAAGATTTCATATGTACACTTTCTTTCACAGTACTATAGTTTTTTACTCTATATTCTTTGTTTATGATATTTAGCTGTTCCCTTTTGTACTTAAGTGACTAAGCTAATATAATTCACTCAGGGATAGGGTCATAGGGTGTCCTCATCCTTCGTGTTTAAAGCTGATGTTGAGGCAAGCAATTCATTTTTTCTTCTTTTTTTTTTGAAGCCCGTGGACATGCATTAAACTACCCCCTGTGAACAAAAAAAGTGAACCGTGAAATCACAGCACACAAAAACGTGCACAAGGGTGCAAGGTCTTTCAAAAGAAGGGACCTACTTTCCTGACCCCCCGTGGCGCAAGGCTCCTGACAGGGGTTGAGACTGTTGGCCCACCAACCCGAAGGCCGGTGGACCCATTTCCTTCGGGGACCTGCCGCAACAGGTCCCTCACAGTACTAGGCAAGTGGGCTCTCCCGAAGAGAGACCCACCTCCTGGGTGGGAGGAGACAGAGAACCCCCTACGAGGCACAGAATCTCCTCCCAGCGTCAGGAATAGGCCCCGAAGAAACCTGCACCTTCAGCATCTGTGGGTCAATTTAAAAATAAAAAAGTGCCAAACGTGCATAGAGTGGATAAATAAATCTAAAGTGCCAGTGCACCACGCTGACAGGCCTTAGGGGCCGGAGTGCAAAAATATTGCCCCGGACTAGCCATAGCAATTCATTGCACAGTTGCTATACATACTGTTTTGTTTGCCAAAGGGATTTTATTTCTAGAAATCTCAGCAAGGTCCTTGACTGCTTGGTCAAAACCACACCCCAGCCTGCTGATTGGACAGGAAAAGGCAGCAGCACACTGATAAGTCAACCCCCTGCTTGCTACTCCTATCATCACATATGCACTTCAAAACAGCACAGTTGGCTTCTAGCATGGTTCTACTAATCTGAGGGATGCTGTGTAGGTGGTTACAGGAAGCTGATATCAGGACAACGGAAATAAATGGTGCTCAGAGTTACAATTTAAGTGAGATTGTGCTCCAAGATCCAATGCATTGTTGGCAATGATGCTCCAGGCCATTGAATGAGTTTTGATCCAGACCATACATATGCCACTTATGGACATATTAATATGGTAGACCAACATTTTCACATGTACATATTGAGTTCCATGTGTTCTAGACAATAGATATGCCATGTGATCTAGACAATAGATATGCCACCTAGTATTGACATATGAATATGGTAAACCAACATTTTCACTGTATACACTGAGTTCCATGAGTTTTTAATTTTGGGAAACGAGTGTCCCTTTAAGCACAGCACTGTTTTTTGTTAGCTAGAACATGCAAATCTGCACGGCTCCAGCGATCCTCACACTTTGTAATCTCTTCTTTCTCTTCCCTTCCCTCAGGCATCAACGTTCTGCTGTGTGATCGTCTCCATGCTGGCAGCTGTCGAGCTCGTCCCTCCTACATGGCGGCACAGAACCGCACTGTTAAACTTCATTCTTCTTTTACCACCTGCCAGTTGTTATTTTTTGTGTTGCAAGATTTGGAATGGAAGAAACAAGAGGAGAAACTCTGACTTCATCCCATGCGGAGGGGAGAGCAGAGAGGGGAGAAGCAGAGCTGAGCAGGGAGGGGAGAAGACCTACTGATTTATTCGCCATCTTCTTCAAGAAATACTTCAATGGAAGTTGCCAGTGCCAAATTTAGGTTTAGCAAATGCTTGTCCTGCCATGCTGACTTTCTTGCTTTCAGTAACTAACCCAAAAAAAAGTATGCAGATAAGGACTTCTGACTTGGGCCACTGACATAGAAAGTACGGGTCAGAGGGTCACCATAACAGCATTTTGAGTAGGAGGCCAGCAGTGGCAACCTCTATTTTCCTTAGGAAATGTTTACTTTAAATTTTTGTCAATCGGATCTCCAAATCTGAGGTTCCTGCTTAGATCTGCCGCAGCCGTTATGGGGGAGTCTCACTCTCATTAGCTGGATCCTGTCTTTTGTACATAAAGGTGACCGGACATGTTACAATCTTCTTTAGAACTACCATCAGTTTGCCTGATTGGATAGAAATTGAATCATCTCCTAGAATGAGATCCTAATAGGTTGGACTTGATGGACTAATGTCTTTATTCAACCTCAAATACTATGTAACTATGTAAGACCGTCATACAACATAGTTTTGGTCAATCTAAAAGAAAATGCACAAAAATTGTACAACCAAATTGTAACATTCATGGTCATTTTTTTACAGCGTGATGGGAGTACAAAGGTGGCACTGGAGCAAAGATATAATAAATCAGTGAGTGCGTCAGCTCACCAACGTTCACCATAAAAGTTTTAGATGAGATTAGGAGATTTTTACCAAACTGTTGCGTTTGCTTGATTCCTTTTTTTTATGTATTGTTTTGAAATATGTGAAAATAAAGTTTTATTTAAGGTGTATATTCTCTTATCTCATTTTTTGTTCCTTTCTTGTCTGCCATTATTTCCATCTGTGCATTGTGGTACGTGAACGCGTTGAGGTGTGCTGGCCAGGTGAGTTAGGATGCCATCCCAAAGGGACTGCAATGCACTATGGTAAAGTGCGGTAACAAAAGACGGTTATCATGTGTTTTTCACAATGCGTTGGTCTAATTTCAGCCTCAAGGAAACCTTTCCTGAAAGACTCATGGAGGCTGCTCATTCTGTAAAGCAATGAGCCCCAAAGGAGCTGCTGAATTTTAATGAGCCTTACTCCTTTCCCCCTTAGTGACCTGCCCTGTAGCTGCACTCAAACACTCACAGACCGTCCAGTAGTGACAATAAGACAGACCTCAAGGCCATCAATCTTCCTTTGAAAAATGTACTGGCTGAAATGTCCGGAGAGAGAGTTAAGGGTACAGGAAACCCAAAAACAGCAAAAATGTATCCGGCTTTCTCAGGTCAGGTCAGCAATAAAAATGGCTGGCGGCTCTAATTTCTCAAGTAGCAGCCTTCCAGCAATATCAAAGCTAATGAGGGCTCTATTGTTTCAGTGGCAGCGTTCTAGTTACAAATGGATCCTTTAAGAACAACCAATTGCTGGGTGTAGAATCTTTAGCAGTGACTGTCCAAGGACAATGGATCCTTTAAGTACCTCTGTTGGTGGCCCTAGATACTGCAGTACCAGACTCCCAATAGAAAATGGCCTTCTAACAATCACAGATACCTTAATGTGCTGAGTAGTGAGCTTTCCAAATCATGTCTATGACATGTCTATGTACATGTAGAAGCTTTCCCGCAAGTCTGCTGGACGCAATTCCGAATAGCAGATTTTTCTGAAGATGCTCCAAGCCTTCTTCCTGATTGTTTATGCCCCAACAAAGTCTTCCTGTGGTTACTTGAGCCTAGGCTCAGGCTGGATTTAAAGGCCCTTCTTACATTGACTTCCCCCTACAGTCAACAGGCCTAGGAAGCACAGGCTGGACCCTGCTAAACACACATTATCACTAAGCAGAGCCTGGGAGGAAAGAACCCTCCTATAAGCTCTCTACAGATAATGACCCTCTTCCCTAGCCCACATTACAAGCATAAACCTCTCAGTGTTTGGCCAAGGGAGAATACATATTTATAACCCGTGTACAGGACACCAGGAATGGGTCCTGGATGGACAGTATATCCCTCCCTTGTTTAGGTGGTGGTCCCGTTAAAGTCACCTTGTATTCAGAGCCTCCATCCCTGACTACAGCCAGTTCTGGTAATGAAAGGGTTAAACCACCAGCCAGAGGGTGTGTTAAAAAGGAACAGGAAGCCAGTCAGTCTGGCTGTGTGGAGTGTTTGGAACAGGACACATGGCTATGTGTGTTAAGCTGTGGAATACAGTCTGCCGAGACACTGCTGGGGCACCTGCGTCCATACTGGAACCCTCTGTGCGCAGGCTGGGACTCTAACCCTGAGGTGGGACTTAGTATACAGGCGCTGAGCCGAAGTCTTGTGTTTGCTGAATATAAGCCATTTACTTTGTTTGTGGAAATGAATAAAAGTTTATTGTCTGATACGGCTGGCTAAGGGTCATATCCGCCCTGAATATTACACCCTAAAGATTGTATCCTCCCCAGAAGTAGGAAGAAGCAAACAATGTCCTGGGATTAGGAGAAACCCAACATCTCAGATAATGTAAACTAAGCTCAGGCTGTCTACAGCCTAGCCTTCAAAGACCACATTACCTGGAACAAGCATGTCAATAAAGATGTCTGACTTTACAAAAGTGCATCCGTGCTCCAGGTTTAGTAACTCAAACCTTACTGAACCCAAATGCTCATTATACTAGTCAGACGACTAGCATGTTCAGAAGGGGATCAACAATGGTAGCCCCCCATGTGTCCCTCAGGAGCGGTTGCCTTTAAGACCAGGAAGTATAAACCTTTTTATATTTGCCTTGTTACTTGTGTTCTGTCCACGGAGGAGCCGCAACCTGGATTGTTGTTTTCGCGTCTCGTGTGAATTCTCTGACTGGTTTTCCAATTAGAAGAGTGGACTCTAATTACTCCAGGAAACAAGCGATATTACTGGAATCTATTACCCAGCTCCTCTCCTTCCTCCTAAGAAAGCAATTACAGATGTGAAATGCCTGGGCCTGGCTTTCAGCTGCGGACATGAATGGTGATACATTGATTCATACTTCGGCGGTACATAAAACGTTTGGCATTGTTAACAGGCAGCACTTATTTTCTGTTGGTCAAGTGGAAGTGATGGAAGAGGAGTCACATGTTCAGTTACTGTTCCCATTCAGAAAAAAATATTATATTTAGCGGATGATGGGAAAAGAAAAAGGTTGACAAGGAAATCTTTTTATAAATACACTTCCTGGCCAAGAAAAAAGGTCACACACACTAATATTTTGTTGGGCAGCCTTTTGCTTTGATTACGGCACACATTCGATGTGGCATTGTTTGGATAAGCTTTTGCAATGTCACAACATTTATTTCCATCCAGAGTTGCATTTATTTTTCACCAAGATCTTGTAATGATCATGGGAGAGTTGGACCTCTGTGTAAAGTCTTCTCCAGCACATCCCAAAGATTCTCAATGGGGTTCAGGTCTGGACTCTGTGGTGGCCAATCCATGTGTGACAATGATGTCTCATGCTCCCTGAACCACTCTTTCACAATCTGAGCCCGATGAATCCTGACATTGTCATCTTAGAATATGCCCAATGTGCCATCAGGGAAGAAACAAATCTATTGATGGAAGAACCTGATCATTCAGTATATTCAGGAAAGCAGCTGACCTCATTTTTTGGGCACATAACATTGCTGAACCTAGACCTGACCAACTGAACCAACCCCAGATCATAACACTGGCCGAAATCCAGGAGGTGACTTTATTTAGGACCAGGCAGTGTAAATCATCCTTCGTATAGAGGTAATGCTGCAATATCATTCATTTCAACAATAATAATTCTATAAGATTATAGCCTAATACCAAACAATGTACATTCATTATGCCATTCAGTTCAGCGGTTACTACATGCCTTCAAGCCCTGATGAAGGGGACTCCCTCTGACCCCCAAAACGTGTTGGCTTTGTGATAAAGTCTTTTGCTTCAACTTGGAATAAATCTGTATCTGAACAATTCATTTTCATTGTGGCTCAGTCTGAGATTATCTCAGTTGAAAACCAAGGAGACGGTGAAAATGCTTTGGTGTGGAGTAGCTGCCAGCCCTGAGTATACATATGGGCCAGCAGCATCATAGCAACCCACGACGCGGTGCGAGCCACACAGCATTAGTGATTGCTAAGACGCTGGCGGCCCCACAGCATCATTGGTGGTTATGATGCTCTCATCTGTGTCCTAGCAACCCATGATGCTGTGCGGCCCAGCCTAGTTGTTAGGATGTAGGCAGCCCCTGGGTTTGGTTCGCTTGGACTTTCGAAGAACCTGGATTTCTGGCTGGGTTTGGTGAATATCCAAGCAAACCAAACCCAGAAAAGTTGGCTCATCACTAGTACCGGTAAAATATCCTTTAAAAAATAAAAAAGTAAAATCAATAAATGTATTTAAATGTAATAAAGTTTTACTCACCTGATCCTCGGAGCCAGCTTGCTCTTAGACCGGTCCCTGGAGCCTCTTTCCTTCTCCACTGCAGCTGTCTGAGGTCCCGGAGACATCACGTTCTATGCATTGTGTATAGGATTGGAGGAGGCCGAGCGAACATACCATCGCTGCAGTGGAGGAGGAGATAGGCTGGAGGGATCGCTGTCACAGCCGGCCAGCTTGGATGATCGAGTGAGTATAACCGTCCCTAGACCAAAACGAGCAGTTAACCCTTGCAGTGCGGGGGTAGCCCTACTGCAAGGGTTAATAGAAAAACTAGCCAGAGTTCTTTAATAATGTATTTATCAGCAATACATTTTATTCATTAAAAGGTGTTTTGTCTGCACTGTCTGGTGTGATCTGCTTTGCTTTACCGTTATCTGGTCCTGGCAGCAGGGTGCAGCACTTGCAATTAGCCAATCACCAGGCTCGAAACCGGTCACATGTTAACTCAGTATAAGCTCCAACACCATCCGACATGGAGCTTACACAGGGGGTCCGGACTCCTAAAGC